TCGTTTGTATTACAAAGAAACAAATTTACAAACATAAATATTAAATATAACAAAATCAAATACATAATACAAAACCCAAATACACCAAAACTCCAACACCCAAGAAACAAGTGAAACAAAATTATGCTTTGTCCATTATTATTTCACTAGTCATTGACTGGTATTTTGCCTAAGGTGTTTATATGCAACCCGTCCTCGACTCAAGTCCATTACATTCAGCGGTCGACCCCACAGACGCATTCATAAATTTTAACATGCTGTTCATTCAAAACGGGAATTTTCTCAAGTATAAATTAATATTATAATATATTGGCATATTGTGTATATATAGGCATAGGATAGGTTAGGTCAGGTGTTTAGGTTCTGTTGGCGATTATTTGTATTTGTAGTACGTGGGTGAAGCATTTATAGCGTTGCGATTCGAACAAAATTCGTCAGTGAAGCACTTGTTCCGGATATGTTCGAACGTCAGCAGTTGTGAGTCGTGTGTAAACCGTTTTTCATTCATAAACAGGGGGTTGGTGGGTGCATGGAATCACTTTTGGATCTTTGTTTGGAGGACGGGCTGTTATATGTTCGTAGAGCCACGAATCATTCCACGAAGCTGTGTTTCAACAGCCCGAGTCTCAACATTCCATTGTCTAATATTTATGTTTATGTTCTCCCTAACGGTTCTACTCGGGTCATGTTCTACAACTCCCACCACGCGTTATCTTTTTGAACATTAGGAAGATCCCCATTCACAGGTACTCTTTCTTGCTTGCGCAGGCGCGGCAACTCCTCGTTATCTTACCCATGGTGATCTGTCATGTCAGTCACATGCTCAGTTGTTTTACAGGCTTTACAGACTACATAAAGCAGCAGTACAGTCTACTCAGTCATATATAAGCATCTTTAAATTGAGAAGTTTCATATAGGAGACAAATTTAACTGGTATATCATAAGCTTCTCTCTTACCGGATGCAATAGGTGAGTTTATTTTTGGCTGGTAACAGTTTACCACTTCTCGGAAGCCTAATTTTGAAATTTACATGCATCAACAATACATTTTCTCTATCTGGCTGAGATTTATCTCAATATATTGAATAACTATTGCTACATGTTCAGTAGTATGGTATATTATTACAGCCAGATACATGTATGTTAATGTGTATACAATTAACCTTCATTTGCTCAATTCTGCAATTATTATTATTTAGAAAATTTGTAGGATCCATGAGGAGGACTCGAACCTATGTTCTAGGTACTCTCAAGCACATCTTAGACCACTACACTGGGAGTACCTAGAGCATAGGTTCGAATCTTCAAGGCTCTCACTGACTTTCTCATTGATTCATCACGTTAAACGCGATTTCTTTGTGCATTATTATTATTATATTAATATTATTATTATTATTATTTGTAACTAATTTATTCCTTGCTGTAGAAGATGAGAGAGGCGAAGCTCTCACGCACGGAGTACTCACCTCTGGACCAGAATTGAATACAGTAAGCTTTATGCATTATCTCTTCATATATCCCCTGATAACACCGGATAGACCAAGTGTTCCTGGACGACCGTCTGTCACATTCCATGCTGATGTCCTCAGGATGGAGATACGATTCAAGTGCATTGGTCTAGAGGTAATCGCCGGCGGAGCTCCTTTGAAGTTGATCCTTAGCGTCAGAGCCGTATCTAAACTTAGCCATGTTGCTTCATCTTGCTTCCTCCATCTCCTCGGTTCACCGTGAAGATTATGCCAATAAATGGTACGTGATTATTTGGTGTGTATAATCAAAATGATTATGTATTTGTTTCCAATGTTGATTTCAAAAGCACCGCTTAATGTTATTTTTTACCCATTCTAGAATCATATTATATCAAACTCATTCTAGGTAATTTGCAAATTGAATTAACAAATATTCATCTAGGTTATGCATTCTAAGAGTACAAGTTGACTCTAATTCGTTCTTTGTCTCATATTGAGGTGATTCTCTATCACTTACTTTTTAGTACTGAGTCTTCACCGAAGAAAGTTTAACGCTTTTTCCATGATGTTGCTGTTTGTAAATAATAATGCAACTCGGTTATTGTAACATTGCTTCCAAGTAAACATTGCTTTAAAATAGATTTTTTATAAATATATTTATAAATATATATTTATATAATTTTTTATATAAATATATATATATATATATATTTATATATATATATATATATATATATATATATATATATATATATATATATATATATATATATATATATATATATTAAATTTTTATATAAATATATTTTTAAATATGTATGCTCGCGTGTTCTATTTATTTATGACTAGTACAGTAAATAATATTTACTCATACACACACTAATATATATATATATATATATATAATGCCGTGCCTAATAGCCAGAACCGCACTTTTTGGCCTAGTATGCAAGGTCCGATGTGCTTAACAGGCAGAATGATTTTCGTTATTTCAAACATTTCTTTCCAGATTGGTTCTTTTCTAACAACAATCAATTATATTAGGAACATGAATTTCTGACTTAGTTATATTAGGTTTGGATAGATTAGGTAGGTTAGATGATTAAACCTAATCTAACTTATAGGTTAGATTAGGTTTAATCAACTTTGTTAGTTTTGACTCAACATAAAATTCCAATCCTATATAATACAATGAAAACTTTATAATTTCATAAGAAAACAAATTGCAATATATTAACGTCACTTGAGTAAGTAGAACTAGTTTTTCAAAGAGCAATTAATTGATTCATTGCACTATAATATATCTAAAATCAAATGATGAAAAGAGACAAGTAAAAAAAGACCCGCTAGACGGGAACAGACATTTCGTATCCATAAATCAAATAGGAAGCCACAGGCAAGAAGTAGGCTATAAAGGAGGCGGACGATACGGCAAATAGCAGGATTTCCCCTTAAATTGAAAGCGAGATAGAGAATGTAAACAAAGTGCGGTGGAGACACGGGGTGGGAGGAAGTGCATGGGAGCGGCCCAGTGTGAATGCCAATCCCGGGTTCGAGGCACTGGCTGAGGTATAAATTATCCCAGGAGTGTTCCTGGTAAGGGAGATATGGCGATACCCGCACGATGCGGGTGGGGCCTCGCCCAGCGGTCATCGTCTCGCTCTCGTCAGTTGATAAAATGATGATAATTATGTTAATAATAATTTTGCAATTGCTTTGTATTTGAGAAACGGTTGTAGTTATGACTATAAAATGGATTACACTAATATTTCTTTAACGATCAACTATCATACATAACGGAATTAAAAGCAGATTGAAAAACTTAACCATGCTAGGTTTAAAATATAACACTTAAAACTGTACTTTTTTCTTTCGTGGGATACGATAGGCTGTACCATGCTGGACGATGTGAAAACACCTCGTGTTGGCTTTGAGAAACCTTTCCGATTAGGATGCGGGTTGGTATTTGTTCCTGAAGGATATTTCAACAGCTCTTTGATCCCCCTTAATTTAGATTTTGCTAAATACAAGAGATGTTCTATAGTGACACCAGCCTGGTGTGATTTATTTATTCATTAAATCTTAATAAGGCGAAGTAATAATTATTATGGGAAAACACTAAGCCATTACGACTATATAGCACTTGCAAGGATATGAAGACAAGAGTTTGGCACAGGAATAAGGAAATGAATGGTGCCCAACCACTTATATAGAATTGTTTGTTTGGATTTTCCTAAGAAATGTAAACAATGAAAGAACCAATTTCCCTGTACCCTAGTATCGTGGTGGTGCGCGGGTCTGCTTTTGAGACATCATAGTTCTTGCATTGTGAGCAATTTTGCTGATTTGGTAGTCCATGATGGCGAAGTGGTGACACTCGCCAGGCGAGCGGTTTGGTCTGGTTTAGAGCGGATTGACTGGGAGCCAATCCTTAACTGTTCGCTCCTGTTCACCCACCAGTGATTGGGTTCCTGGTTATTTTTTGTTTATCTTTTTAGTATAATTCTCATTAAACAAGTGTTTCATATCATTACAGAGCATGAACTTTAAACCCCTAAATGTTATACTTTTTTTTCTTAAATGATTTATCGTTTTTTCTTTGGTGATGAGTTAAGCGCCAATAATACTTACGTCACACAGTAAGCTCGAGCTTCCTATGCCTGACGCAAGCGTTATTGGCGTTATCAACAAGGCTGGCATAACCGTATTATATACGTGAATGTAAAACTTGTCACTATTATTACAGGGTGTATTAGTCTATACACCTCTGCGGAGTGTTGCTCACAGCTTCACACTGAATCCTAGGAAATATGTAGTTTATGCCCAAAAGTTCAGCTTCTTAATTTTTCTGATGTAATCAGAGATCTGAAAATCCAGATGTGTGTCATACAGAATGAACTTTGTCCTATTGATAGCTGGTCAAAGTGATTATATAAACCAGTGCCTCTGTTTTGATTGTGAACTGTGAGACCTGCAACATGCCGACATCGGTAAGGTCATCTGTGTTTTGCAAGATATGTTCCAAGATATCCTAGATATTCGTCCTCGCACTCGGTGTGTCTTGCTGCCTGACCTAAAGGCAACTTAAGAATGAGTGATGTGTGTGTGTGTCCTGGTGCGGCCGAGCTACAGAATATAACATCCTAGTCACCAGACTCATTTAGCGTGATACCTCGTGTTACGACAATACTCTTACAATTTGGCCTTTGTAATTATTTTATTGGCATTAATTTCTGAAAAAAAGTAAAACGTCACAATTTTAAGTGGTTTGCCATATGTTCCATGTAATAGGCGTTGCTAATTTAATTTATATCACATTTAGTCGATGTAAATTATCATTCAGAGTATATTCTCTATATTGTTTGCCGATATTTGCTTCACCACAATATTTGTAAGCTGCGCATGTTTAACAAACATCGCGGCTGGACACCTGCAATTCCGGCTATAATCCCGGCCAGAAGTGTAGCAACTTGTATACATTTGTTGTGAACTAAACCTCTGAGTGTGGTATAATTAATGACCTTCGCAGTCTCAAGGTTTAATTTTTAGCCTATGCGATTTTCCTGTATTAATATTAGGTATTCTCAGGGTGGTTGTGGACACACCCGGGACACCCTGGGTGGGTGTGTACACACCCGGGACACCCTGGGTGGGTGTGTACACACCCGGGACACCCTGGGTGGGTGTGTACACACCCGGGACACCCTGGGTGCGTGTGTACACACCCGGGACACCCTGGGTGGTTGTGTATACACCCGGGACACCCTGGGTGGTTGTGTATACACCCGGGACACCCTGGGTGGGTGTGTACACACCCGGGACACCCTGGGTGGGTGTGTGCACACCCGGGACACCCTGGGTGGGTGTGTACACACCCGGGACACCCTGGGTGGTTGTGTATACACCCGGGACACCCTGGGTGGGTGTGTACACACCCGGGACACCCTGGGTGGGTGTGTACACAGCCGGGACACCCTGGATGGTTGTGTACACAGCCGGGACACCCTGGGTGGGTGTGTACACAGCCGGGACACCCTGGGTGGGTGTGTACACACCCGGGACACCCTGGGTGGGTGTGTACACACCCGGGACACCCTGGGTGGGTGTGTACACAGCCGGGACACCCTGGATGGTTGTGTACACAGCCAGGACACCCTGGGTGGTTGTGTACACAGCCGGGACACCCTGGGTGGGTGTGTACACAGCCGGGACACCCTGGATGGTTGTGTACACAGCTGGGACACCCTGGGTGGGTGTGTACACAGCCGGGACACTCTGGATGGTTGTGTACACAGCCGGGACACCCTGGGTGGGTGTGTGCACACCCGGGACACCCTGGGTGGGTGTGTGCACACCCGGGACACCCTGGGTGGGTGTGTACACAGCCGGGACACCCTGGATGGTTGTGTACACAGCCAGGACACCCTGGGTGGTTGTGTACACAGCCGGGACACCCTGGGTGGGTGTGTACACAGCCGGGACACCCTGGATGGTTGTGTACACAGCTGGGACACCCTGGGTGGGTGTGTACACAGCCGGGACACTCTGGATGGTTGTGTACACAGCCGGGACACCCTGGGTGGGTGTGTGCACACCCGGGACACCCTGGGTGGGTGTGTGCACACCCGGGACACCCTGGGTGGGTGTGTGCACACCCTGGGTGGGTGTATGCACACCCGGGACACCCTGGGTGGTTGTGTGCACACCCGGGACACCCTGGGTGGGTGTGTACACAGCCGGGACACCCTGGGTGGGTGTGTACACAGCCGGGACACCCTGGGTGGTTGTGTACACAGCCGGGACACCCTGGGTGGTTGTGTACACAGCCGGGACACCCTGGGTGGGTGTGTACACAGCCGGGACACCCTGGGTGGGTGTGTACACAGCTGGGACACCCTGGGTGGGTGTGTACACAGCCGGGACACCCTGGGTGGGTGTGTACACAGCCGGGACACCCTGGGTGGGTGTGTACACAGCCGGGACACCCTGGGTGGGTGTGTACACAGCCGGGACACCCTGGGTGGGTGTGTACACAGCTGGGACACCCTGGGTGGGTGTGTACACAGCCGGGACACAGTGTTGTTGTGTCTGGTGGTGGTGTATCACGCTCCATTAACACTATCTTCAGCTTCTACTTCCTTAAAGTTCCGGCCAGTTGGCTAATTTACTGGAAAAAGACCTAAATTGCTGGCTTAATTTAATTACCGTCATTTACGGCGGCGTCCAAGTTTAGTGACTTGTGAGATCTTAAATTAACAATTACTTGTATTTATTGGAATGAACATTTGTTGATTTAATCATTGGAATGTTTGACCATTTTCCCATGTGAAAATTGTCTCATTTGACCATGGTTCGAGTTAGCTATTATCTGATTTTAAAACTGACCCATTTGACCTAATAGGTCGCATTTGAATATTGCCCTAGTTCGTATTGTTATTTAACTATTGTACGATTTGACAATTGACTAATTTCACAGACCCATTTAGCCATTGTTCCATTTAATTATTGCCAAATTTTATCATTAATCCATTTGATCAATGTCCTATTTGAACCTTGCCCCATTTGACCATTACTGAAATAAGTACTTGAAATTTATTTAGACTATCCAGCCCCTCATCTCTGGCCAACGTTTACTTCACTCTAGGATCAACTTATGCTTTATTATTTTATGTTCTACTCTCCTGTATCATGATGCACCGCAGATGTTATGTCACGCACTTCTGATACAAATGTTCAGTAGCATGAACACAAATACCAAGATTGTTAGTTTTGTTCATCTGTCTGGTAAGATGTAAATGACTACGGATCCTTGACAACAATATTTGGCAACACAACAGAGTTAATAATTATAAATAACCACTAAGCACAGTGAACAGCTTGGTAATTATGACACTTGGGCACAAATATAAAAGTAACGCTTATAGTCCTGTTTATATAGTCTTACGTTAATACATCTTAACGTTATGTTAATAGATGTTAACATCCGGTGGCTACCAAAGCACTAGTTACTCAAGGCAAAACCAATATGAGCTTGAGCCGTGTAATGTGCCAGCGAAGCAATCCTCGAGGTATAGAGCCAACTGCCAGGGTCCTTAATGTATTTTGTTTCTTAAACTGAATCATCCAAGAATTTCTTGGGCGTCCAAATTTAGGATGGATTCCAGCGTCGAAAGCCACTAAGCTAAACACGTATAACCGAGCCCAATCACTTTCGCGCTCAGGACAATGGACGTGGGTGAATAAATATAGCTTAAGCTTGTGTGTTACCTGATGAACCAGGCTGTGACTCATTCGTCAGGCTGCCTCAAACAGCCTGGTGGATCAGGTCAGGAGACTTGGTCAGAGACCGGGCCGCGGGGACACTAACTCCCTGGAGTCTTCAGCAGGTGGGTAAGTGTGGTATGAAGCAATTAAGTTTATGATCTCGTGAAATTGGGAACAGCCCTGAAAACACAACGCAACTGGCCCAATTTTCCGCTTGTTACACCTTGTAATAAAGTTATTACATCTTGGTATAATGTTTTTATGACGTATTACAACGTTGTTGCAACTTGTTAGGTGTTAAAACTTGTTCAAACGTCGTAGCAACGTCGCAGTTACGTCGTGTGTTTGGCGGGTTAGTCTGCCTAAAATTGAGTAGTGAAAAGTTACATACGAGTCTTTGGTGTCGAGTGTTTTCTACTTGTTTATCGGTGTTCGTTGTTTTTGTCAAGTTTTGCCGATGTTTAAGTTTTGTGGAACATTTTTTAAATATATTTCCAGACACTTCTTGAACACTGGGTAAAAGACAGGCGTACGGTAGTTTGTTTGGGAATGTGGCGGTGTAGTGGAACCCCCGGGGGAATATTGGTGGATGTTGGGGCCGGGGTGCTGGGTGAGGACCCCGGGGTGCTGGGGGAGGACCCCGGGGTGCTGGGTGAGGACCCCGGGGCCGGGGTGCTGGGTGAGGACCCCGGGGTGCTGGGGGAGGACCCCGGGGTGCTGGGTGAGGACCCCGGGGTGCTGGGTGAGGACCCCGGGGTGCTGGGTGAGGACCCCGGGGTGCTGGGGGAGGACCCCGGGGTGCTGGGTGAGGACCCCGGGGCCGGGGTGCTGGGTGAAGGGGCCCAACTGGCAAGTGTCTGGGAGCAAGATGCCTCAGTCGTAGCGGCTCAGGTGGCAGTGTTTGCCCGCAGCCAACATCACCATCGCAATATACGGCCGATTTGAATACCTGCTGCTAGCAACGGTGTGTGTACTCGGTTGTGTTTGTGGGGGTTGAGCTCTGGCTCTTTGGTCCCGCCTCTCAACTGTCAATCAACTGGTGTACAGATTCCGCAGCCTACTGGGCTCTATCATATCTATATTTGAAACTGTGTATGGAGTCTGCTATACTCTTCATAATTTTTGCAGCTTAAGACAACATTGAGAGGAATGAGTCTATATCCTCTGGAAGATCATATTATATAAATACAGTAGATATATTTAAATAACATAGATTTTTTTATCTTTATTTATTTACAATACAAATCATATATACGTCAATCTTACAAAGAAATACTACATAACATATATACGGTAGTATAATTTCCAGTACACAAGTGTTTCATATTATCACAGAGCACGAACTTTAAACCCCTAAATGTTATACTTTTTTTAAATGATTTACAGTTTTAATTATATTTACATCAGTTTACAGAGGAAATTATTGCATTTATATATATTTTATATAATTATCAGTAAACAAAATTCCCATATCATCACAGAGTATGAACCGTAAACCCTAAATGTTATACCTAATCCTGCCTCGCAAGACCTTCAATATATTGTCTACTGAGTAACCCTCCTGCCTGCCTATCCACACACAAAAAAATGTAATCAGAAAGTAACATAATTATTGTATTCTTAATTTCTGTTGCATTTTAGGTCAATATGAAACATTAAAAACCTCATTAACTCCACTCTAATGCATGGTCCACATAAAGCTTTAAGAGTGTATGATGTATTACATGCACAACGCTTGGCTGTCAGAGGGGAGGCAAGAGCCTCCCCTCTGACGTGACGGACGTGTTGTATCTCACGTTTTCGTCAGAAAGTTTTGTCCTCTCTTATTTTTGGCGGGGGGTGAGGACGTTGATGGAGTATTGCGTCAAGTTAACACTGCCTGATGACAGTACTTCCTGTATTTGGCCCCAGCTGTCGCCTGGCCTGACAGTCTGCTGTGATGCTTGTGTCGGACGGCGTGGTGGGTCTTCTGTTGGACGTGGGCCATGGAGCATACGTTGGACGTGATGACTGAATAGTACGTGGGACTTGGACGATGAGAATTGTGCAGGATATAGTGGATTCATTTTACTTTGATTGATGTGGATGTGTCTTACTTGTGGCTTGGTGGATGACACTTGGATGTAGTGAGTCGTGCGTCAGAGATATTGGATGAACGACGCGTAAGATGTGATGGAGAACTTGCGTTTAGTGTGCATCATCCGTGGGACGTGGTGGGTTAATCATACCTTCGCAGTGGAGGCTGAAGTGTGCGTGGTGTCGTGACCAAGATGTTAGGTTCACATAACTACCAGAACCCTTAACATTATCCACTGAATGAGAGTGAACGAATTTTCGGTAATTATGAGAAGGAAGTCCTTAACCAGCATGAGTCTCACACAAGGCGTCAAAGAACCGTGCCCAACCACTCGTACCATCGGGAATAGAACTCAGTCGCTGCAAGGAGCGAGGCAGTTTACCAACCAGTCTAAATGAGCTACAAGTAGGAAACTGAGGGCAGGCGAGAATTCAGGTCTGGTAGGCATGACATCTGAACTGCTGACCAAGGCATGACAGGTGGTCAGTGCCAGAGGTCAGCCTGAAGCGTTAATGGTCTGCCAGCGGCACCCAGACCGGAACAACACAGGTAGCGTGTAGCTCCTAGGTCTGGGCACCTAGCTCCTAGGTCCTAGCTCCTAGGTGTCAGGCACCAGAGGTCGCGTGTGTAGTATAGGGGCTTAAGACAAGTTGGCCAGTAGTGTTAAGGAGTCCTGGATGGAGGGATGGTGTAATGTACATTTTTATAATCGTTAGAATAACAGTATCTTACATTTTATAATAACTTGGAAAGGATATTTTGTTTGCTATGCCGTTCTTCTGTAATTCCTGGTGATAGACGCCAGATGGTAGTTATAATGATAAAGTTAAAGTACTTTACTTATTAAAATTACGTTTTGCCATTTCTCATTGTGTGAAGTATAGAGGGGGAACTAGAGGAATGTGTTATGGAGCTTCACTGTGTTTACCTGTGAAGTTGTGATGTTTACCAACACTAGCCATCACACGTGCACACTTGCTCACTAACAGTTTTAAACAAAATCAGACTTTCAAACTTTCAAGAATCAGAGTATTTAGCTTATTATTTAAGCTTAATTTAGCACATTAAGAGTCCTAAAGTTAGTCTCTTGAAAACCAAAGTGTTAACTAAATTATAAATATTCATCCATTTCTAAATAAAGGTTTTGAGTGTAAGAAAGATGCAGTTGATGAAACGTTGTAAACCAAGAACATCTGAACAAGTTGCTGAAACTCTCAAGTCAAGATAAAAGTTAAAACATCGGATTCGAATGAGATAAAGTTAGATATGAAAAAGTATATAAGGAAAGATTTGTTTGTCAGAAGATCCGTTGATAATTGGAACAGACTTGTGTTGGGGAAGAGTTGGGAGGTGGGGGGGGGGGGGGGTGAGCAGCCCATCTTCCTAAGGTTTCCCTACGTCAAGAAACTGTCGTAATAAAGTGCCCTTATCCTAACCTACCAGAGGACCCAAAACAGAAAACGGGACATTGTCCATTTCGCAAGCCGCTACCATTTTCTAGTATGACAATTTTTGGCTTTTGAGTATACGTCAAAATGCGACGCTGTATTAGGAGGACGGGTTGCAGGGGGAGAGAGTGAGAGAGAGATGGTAAGGGGAAGAGGTGTAGTGGGCATGCAGAGAGAGAGGTGGTGAAGGAGAAAAGAGGTGGGGGAGAGGGAGAAGGAGGGGTGGGGGAGAGGAAAGGTGAGCAAAAGAGGTTTGCTGCGTGTCTGTGTTTGACTTGGTATGTGTTTTAATTTGGTATGTCGTGTTTGTTAGTCGCGGCCTAATCCTAGACCAATATGTTAGGCGTGGAATGTTCTTCATGTGCCTTACAGCCAATTAACCCGATGATAATGGAGTTAATGTATTCCCAACATAAAGAACATATGACCTTGACCTCTCGAGTTCAAAAGTTCACAGGTCAATCGGAGAATAAATCAGTCATAACCGAGAGCTGACTTGAAATAAAAACAACAACAATAATAACAAAAATATTGATAATTAAAATAACAACAGTAATATTATGACTATAACATTCTATAATACGTCTCAAATATTGGCGTTGACTTCAAAAGTTTTCTTATTCAAACTTATTATGTTATTTATTTGCTGTAATTGTGGGTCATTTAGCGGTGTGGGTGATGAAGGTGATCAGTGTTAGGTATGTTTGTCCTGTCACGGTCAACACTTCTCGATGACTGGTGATAATTCATCTCGGCGCTTTCTTTTGAATTCGCTGAGTTTTGTTTGACTAGTTTTAAGTAGCTAGGGATAGTGCGAGGGTGCAAACAGGGAGAATGGTTGTGTGAAGTCTGTTTGGGGGGAATCTCCTTGCACGTATGGTTATGTCTTAATGTGTCTGATTAATTTGTTTGATGTATATATAATATAATATAATATAGAGTTCTTACATTCTTGTAAATACACGCACACATACACATACATTTATGTCTCTCCTACTTTGACAGGGTAATATAGCTGCTATAGAAACCAGTGTTTTATTAAGCACTTAACCACTGAAGGTGATTAAGTTGCTTTTACAAGCTCAGGTTATAGTTACATCACATATATTGTATAATTGATGCATTGCATAATCAGTCTAGGGTACAAGTCCAATATATCTTTCAAGTGTTCCAGTATTCATATAATATTTACAGAGTTCAGCATACCTCAGCCCAGGAGGGCGTCAAGTCAATATGGGACATTCTACAATATAATGTTCAAGTGAGTGCATGTTTTCTATTTCACAAAGTTGACACATTGTGTACTCAACATTTGGGTTTTGAGAAAGCTGCCAGATACGTCTATATTCCAGGCGTATTCTGGCCACTATAACATCACATTGCCGAGTTCTTGCTCTATTAGTTCCATATATAAATGTCTCCTCACCATATTTATCTTGATGTTTAATGCTACAATTTCCAGGTCTTTGTGGCTTTGTTAGGTCAGTGAGATTTTCATTAAATATTTGTTTAGCATTCACTTTATCACTGCTAATGAAAGACCCATATTAATTTCTACTACTAGTTTTCTAGAGGCTGTCTTTGCAAGTATGTCAACAGAATCATGCTTTGAGATGCCAACATGTGATGGTATCCCCCAAAAATTAATTTAAAATCTGTTTTCTGTAGCAGCTGAAATATTGAACAAATCCACAAGGGGCGTGACGAGGATTCGAACCTGCGTCCGGGAGCATCTCAGACACTGCCTTAATCGACTGAGCTACGACAGGGTTAAAAAGGGTTGAAACCGAAGTTCTACTGAACTTACTGGATCCCGTAGCCTCTCCGAGGCACAAACCAGGCTTTTACACAACCCCCCCCCCCTGCACCCGAGCTATGTCAATAGGCCGTTCAGTGGTCATTTGATGCATCACGTTAGTGTGATCTCTGTGTGTGAGCTGAAATATTCATTCAAATATCACTGACTATTTCCTGGGTGTTACTAGTATGCGCGTTCAGCGCCAAGAGCGCACTCTGCGAGTCACAGTGTACAAGTCCACTGCCTTTGTCTTTTACAAAATCTGTGGCGGAGAATATGCCTGCAAGTTGGGTTTGAGTTGTACTTTCCCAACCTGAGGATCCGTGGCAGGTTCCGTTTTCTGTGTTGTGACGCGTTTTCTGTGTGCGAGGACGGCGTGAGACCGGCACGTCTGTCACGTCGCCGTCAAGGTCATTATTGCTTGCACCTCTTCCTGCTGCCTCGTTATTGCCGCCTTTACGTCCTGCAAGTAGTTGGTAGCAGTTAGGATGGCTCATACTTAAGTCATCTTGCGCGTCTTCAGCCTTCATGTTCTCCTACTTAACGTGAAGAATATTGCCATATTCGGTTACTTGATAACTTGTTGGTTTTCAATACAATTAAATTATTCAGTGGTCATTTTGGCCATTTATGAATCAAATTATTTGATGGGAAAATGTATATTACTAAGTCTTTATTGTGGTAAAATTTAACCTTCTGCAAAAAACAGTATTGAAGTGATATTGGGAAATATTCTTCCGGCAAGGCTAAGCTGCCCATTCACTACAGGAAGCGGAGTAGGCCTATGTAAATAGATCATAGCGAGAACAAGAGCAGTGTTATCAACGGGCGCAGAGAATAACTCACAATAACAAGGCTGAAACGTTTGACCCGCCTCACACACATGAGAAGATGTGAAGTGAGAGGACATGAGATGTGAGATTACGTGAGGTGATATGAAATGGGTTGAAGTGAAGATGTAAATAAAGGAAAGAATGAACAAACTAAACAGACGGGAAGGAAAGTAAAGGCGAAAAGTAAATAAATAAAACGAGAAATATATCGGAGAAATTTAGAGGTATAAAGAGATAGAAAGAGAAGATATAAAAATAGCCGAGAGGGGCAGACAACCAAGTCAGATGACGCTTGATAAGAGGCTTAGAACATTTAGCTGTGTACCGAGAACAATGTGAACCATTACCAACAAAGACCACATTAAGGGTCATGTTGGGCATGTCTATCATAGTCCATTCAACAAGACGGTGTTGTTCGTGTTAGGGAGTTTAACACTTATGTTGTTAATAATAATAATAATAATTTATTTATGAAAAGTACATACATAGTTGCAGAGTTACAGTACAAACATTCTATTTGATTTAAAGATAGAGGTAGTACATACAATACCTAAAGCCACTAGTACGCATAGCGTTTGGGGCAAAGTCTATCGTTTAAGTGTAGTGTAGTGTTTAAGTGTAGGCCAGTTTTAACAAAGTATTGGAGAGGACAACAGGAACAGGCAAGTATTAAACACCGTCAGCAGTGTGAGCAGGAGGAGCAGTGTGAAGCAGATTACTACGAAGTGTGTTGGTTTGTTGAAAGGCAAGTTTTATATCAAGAGGACGAAGGGTATTTGAGAGATTTTGCAGTTCAGATATGAATGGAAGGCACGGCAGAGTTGGAGGCAGATTGGAGGAAAGAAAGTTCTTTTAGTTTGACTGCCGGGGCGTGGGGTGAGAGTACGAGCTTTCCTCTTCTATCTTGGAGAGTCAAATTATATGAAATAAAGTGTATCTGGAGGAGCGAGGACGGCGCTACTCTACCACTCTGGCGGACGGCCATTTACGGAAGATATTTATTGTCACTGTATATAGTTGCCTGCACCCTGCCACCATCTTGAGGTTATCTTGAGATGATTTCGGGGCTTAGCGTCCCCGCGGCCCGGTCCTCGACCAGGCCTCCTTTTTGTTACACATCCCCAAGAAGCAGTCCGTAGCAGCTAACTCCCAGGTACATATTTACTACTAGGTAACAAGGGCATCAGGGTGAAAGAAACTTTTTGCCCATTTGTCTCCGCCTCCATCGGGAATCGAACCCGGAACCTCAGGACTACGAATCCGTTTCCGCTATGTTTCCAGAAGCAGCATCCAGCTGCCAAACTGGAATTTTCAGAGGAATTACTGACTCACACCCACCTCATATATATATATTTGCTTCAGTAGCAGTCAGGGGAAAGTAGAAAATTCCAGTTTGGCAGCAGGATGCTGCTTCTGGAAACTTCAGGAAACATAGCCTGGTTGATAGAGCGTCGGCCTCACACACATGGGGTCCAGGGTTCGAGACCCATACAGCCCAGGTGAATGGAATGTTTATTTCCACGGAAGTGTGGATGACAATTTCCATTTTCAGTATATTTGATAGTATAACATATTCAGTAATATGATGCTCTCACCAGTGATCACAACGCTCTCCTAATATATGGGCGAGACGGTGACTCGCCTCTAAGGATGTAGTAGCCAGTAATTTAAGGTCTAAAGTGTCTCAAATGCTTCAGCGTTTTATGGCGTGTAAACACATAAGAAGCTACTCTGGTGTCTTTCTATATTTAGGACAAAATTATTACTTGTTTGTTGGTCAGTAATATAGTGTCGTGGCCTAAATAGCGGTTGATTGGTCTTAAGTCCAACACGAATCTAATCCGTGAAACGACTAGAAGGAGAGGTAGTAGAGCGGTGCACGACCCAGCGGTATTATTAATTAAGAAGATTACAGTCTGGTTAGGGTTGTGGAGCCAGGGAAGGCGTGGAGGCTCTGCTGGGATAATTGCACAAAGTCATCCCCATCTCTTATGCTCACCTTAATGACGCAACATTGACTGATTTTACCACATTTTCGCTACTTGCGTTATTTTATTGCCTGAAGTGTTGTTGCCGTGCCTGAGGTGCTGTTGCCGTGCCTGAAGTGTTGTTGCCGTGCCTGAGGTGCTGTTGCCGTGCCTGAAGTGTTGTTGCCGTGCCTGAGGTGCTGTCGCCGTGCCTGAAGTGTTGTTGCCGTGCCTGAGGTGCTGTCGCCGTGCCTGAGGTGCTGTTGCCGTGCCTGAAGTGTTGTCGCCGTGCCTGAGGTGCTGTTGCCGTGCCTGAGGTGCTGTCGCCGTGCCTGAGGTGCTGTTGCCGTGCCTGAGGTGCTGTTGCCGTGCCTGAAGTGTTGTCGCCGTGCATGAGGTGCTGTTGCCGTGCCTGAGGTGCTGTCGCCGTGCCTGAGGTGCTGTTGCCGTGCCTGAAGTGTTGTCGCCGTGCCTGAGGTGCTGTCGCCGTGCCTGAAGTGTTGTTGCCGTGCCTGAGGTGCTGTCGCCGTGCCTGAGGTGCTGTCGCCGTGCCTGAGGTGTTGTTGCCGTGCCTGAGGTGCTGTCGCCGTGCCTGAGGTGCTGTCGCCGTGCCTGAGGTGCTGTAGCCGTGCCTGAGGTGCTGTCGCCGTGCCTGAGGTGCTGTCGCCGTGCCTGAGGTGCTGTTGCCGTGCCTGAGGTACTGTCGCCGTGCCTGAGGTGCTGTCGCCGTGCCTGAGGTGCTGTCGCCGTGCCTGAGGTGTTGTTGCCGTGCCTGAGGTGCTGTCGCCGTGCCTGAGGTGTTGTTGCCGTGCCTGAGGTGCTGTCGCCGTGCCTGAGGTGCTGTCGCCGTGCCTGAGGTGCTGTTGCCGTGCCTGAGGTGCTGTCGCCGTGCCTGAGGTGCTGTCGCCGTGCCTGAGGTGCTGTTGCCGTGCCTGAGGTGCTGTCGCCGTGCCTGAGGTGCTGTCGCCGTGCCTGAGGTGCTGTCGCCGTGCCTGAGGTGCTGTTGCCGTGCCTGAGGTGCTGTTGCCGTGCCTGAAGTGTTGTCGCCGTGCCTGAGGTGTTGTTGCCGTGCCTGAGGTGCTGTCGCCGTACCTGAGGTGCTGTCGCCGTGCCTGAGGTGCTGTTGCCGTGCCTGAGGTGTTGTTGCCGTGCCTGAAGTGCTGTCGCCGTGCCTGAGGTGGTGTCGCCGTGCCTGAGGTGCTGTCGCCGTGCCTGAGGTGGTGTCGCCGTGCCTGAGGTGCTGTCGTCGTGCCTGAGGTGGTGTCGCCGTACCTGGATCAATGAACAGATGGTGCAGGTTAAATGTTATGTGTTATAATGTTCAGCAAGTTGCTAGGCTAACTGATCATGTTTGTTGTGGTCATATTATGAGGGACGAGCACTGTATGGCTGCCTTCCCCGGCCCACGACCCATCACGACTCTTGTCTTACCCACGGTCCCTTACCTTCTGGTGGTAGGTCAGGATGGCCGAGCGGTCCAAGGCGCTGCGTTCAGGTCGCAGTCCGGTCTTCCGGGCGTGGGTTCGAATCCCACTTCTGACATTAGTTTTTGGAAGCCTGGTAGAGGACCCAGCCGCGGAGACGCTAAGCCCCGAAAGGTACAAGGTAAGGTACTATACTTCCCTGTTACCATCCTCTGAATAATACATTTGTACACACACTTCTACACTGCTGTATGTCACCCTACTCTCCTGCCAGGGTTGTCAACGCTCCAGCACTCAGTACTCCGTCTTGACATGTTCATAAACACTTCTGTCTCGTCCTCATATTGCCATCATCAATCTCCACCGACATCAACCCTCCATAAACACTGCCGCCGACCGGAGTACTCCCCAGCTCCAACAACACGTTATAACACTGTGAATTGTTACGCAGATTTCAGTCGTTGCTTGTACCCTGTTATGAACTGGCGGACAGCAGTTAGCAGCGACCCGGTGTGACTGTTGGTAACAGCTGGTCATATTAACCAATTAGAAGACTTGGCCTAACATGAGGCTTGAAGTGATCGAACCATGACCCTGACCTGACCTGACCTGACCTGACCTGAAATGTGAAGGCTGCCAACTAATTAACTCCTGTGCTTACTTTTACCAAGCATCTCCTCCCCGCTTACAAACCTTTAAATTGGCCAGAGGTGAGCCCCGCCGTAACACCTTACAAGGTAACGACCAACCAACAATACTCTCGCCACTTTGACATTGTAACAACTTTATATAAACAGATACATGATTATACGTTGATGGGCGGCGCGGTTATGGTGGTGTCTTCATTTAAAAATATATTCTATGTTTATATAACTAGGTGAGTACAGAAGTACACACAGGTGTACGAGCACACACACGCACACACAGGTGTACGAGCACACACACGCACACACAGGTGTACGAGCACACACACGCACACACAGGTGTACGAGCACACACCCGCACACACAGGTGTACGAGCACACACCCGCACACACAGGTGTACGAGCACACACCCGCACACACAGGTGTTCTATACCTGTCATCTTCCGGGTCTGGCGTCCCACGGCCTTCCGCCTTCAGTTGTGTCTTGTCACTTAGTGCTAATTAGTTCCTTCTCCCGGTCTCTACAGCCACTTGTGTGGGTCTTCCTCCCATGTTGTCCTTGTCCTCTTGTGTTGTCCTTGTCCTCCCATGTTGTCCTTGTCCTCTTGTGTTGTCCTTGTCCTCCCATGTTGTCCTTGTCCTCTTGTGTTGTCCTTGTCCTCCCATGTTGTCCTTGTCCTACGATGTTGTCCTTGTCCTCCCATGTTGTCCTTGTCCTCTTGTGTTGTCCTTGTCCTCCCATGTTGTCCTTGTCCTCTTGTGTTGTCCTTGTCCTCCCATGTTGTCCTTGTCCTCTTGTGTTGTCCTTGTCCTCTTGTGTTGTCCTTGTCCTCCCATGTTGTCCTTGTCCTACGATGTTGTCCTTGTCCTCCCATGTTGTCCTTGTCCTACGATGTTGTCCTTGTCTTCTTATGCAATTCGTCTAATTTGTTTTGGGTATTTTATTATATATTATATATAATTTTCCTTATTACTCATCCTGCTCATTGTCCTCATATTCTCGTCTCTCTTTGTGTCCAGTCCTCCTCATGGTCTCCCTCACCGTGGTCTCCTCATGGTCTCCCTCACCATGGCCTCCGTCAGTCAGCCTCCAGGAGCACCAACACACAACACCCTCCAGAGTCTTGTTATGCATGGAGACATGAGCGTCATTTCTCCTCCTCCTCCACTCGTGTTCCACACCACCACCTCCACTCGTGCTCCACACCTCCTCCTCCACTGGTGTTCCACACCACCTCCACTCCTCACACCTGAGAATGTGTCGTGCTGGTCGCCTTACTCAAGTTCCAAAACACGCTATCGAATTTCCCCGCAGCACCACGGCAGGTTCTTCCTTCCTTCCCGATACTCCTTCTCCTCCTGCTCCTCCTCCTCCCTCCTCCTGCTCTTCCTGCTCTTCCTCCTCCCTCCTTGACCTGCAACAGATGGCTGCCCCACCAGAGACTTCGCCTCCCTCTCATCTCTCTCTTAATTCCTAATCCGTATATTTACACCATTTGTGCTCTCGTTACATTGTAATATTTCTCCATCACCTGTCTTGGGTCTCCATCCCGTGTCACCCCTCCCTCACTACCCTCATTCCTCCCTCACTATCCTCACCCCTCCCTCACTACCATCATCCCTCCGTCACTACCATCATCCCTCCCTCACTACCCTCACCCCTCCCTCACTACCCTCACCCCTCCCTCACTACCCTCCCTCACCCCACCTCACTACCCTCACCCCTCCCTCACTACCCTCACCCCTCCCTCACTACCCTCATCCCTCCCTCACTACCCTCATCCCTCAGTCACTACCATCATCCCTCCCTCACTACCCTCACCCCTCCCTCACTACCCTCATCCCTCCCTCACTACCCTCACCCCTCCCTCACTACCCTCATCCCTCCCTCACTACCCTCACCCCTCCCTCACTACCCTCATCCCTCCCTCACTACTCTCACCCCTCCCTCACTACCCTCATCCCTCCCTCACTACCCTCATCCCTCCCTCACTACCCTCACCCCTCCCTCACTACCCTCATCCCTCCCTCACTACCCTCACCCCTCCCTCACTACCCTCATCCCTCCCTCACTACCCTCATCCCTCCTACACGTTACCCAGACTCACCCCGGCCGTTGCCAAGGCGACAGACTGCGTGACCCCTCTTCTGGAGCCTCCAGAGCTTCTGATCACCACGGTGGCTCCAGTGTCCCCTCACTCTTATGTTAGATGCTACCCCTATGCTCCCCTTTTGTCCTAGATGCTCCCCTCATGTTCCCCTCATGTCCTAGATGCTCCCCTCATGTCCTAGATGCTGCCCTCATGTCCTAGACGCTGCCCTCATGTCCTAGACGCTGCCCTCATACTGCCTGGCTGCTGCCCTCATGATGTCATTCACACTGTGCTGACCTAACAGTGACTACGGGGGAGTGAGGTGTGGATCTGTGTGTGTGCTCCGTCAAGCACCTTGACTGAGGCTCCAGGTGTGTGGTCACGAGGCTCCGAGGTCGGGGGTGTGGGTGCCACCCATCATGTCCTCTTTCACTGCATTCCATTTTTTTATTTTTATTTTTTATTTTATTTTTCTGGGATATTCCTGCGCGGGCCCTAAGCCTCTGGCTGGCCTACTAAGTGTTGCTTCATTTTGTTATCTGTTCGTAATGGGTACGAGTATTTTATTAGATTTCTAGGACGTCTTTACTTTTCCAATTTCATGGTGACATTTTTTCCTATTTCCTGTCTTTTTATATGTTTTTGTTCATCTGTTTCTCTTGGTATCGTGTATGTAGTGATCATACTCACCACTCATGTCTTTATTTTAGACGTGACAAATAAAGCAGGGAGGTAAGGCAGGGTTTTAACACGTGTAGAGTGGGGGGGGGGGGAAGCAGTTCCTTTCCGAGAAGTTTCACTGGAGGAAGTACATTATGTACGGGTCACCCCGAGTGACGTATAGCAAGCGTGTGGACACACAACCCTCATGGGAACCAAACATTGAAGCGATCGTGATATGAAGATGTGACTGGTCGTGGACTGACGAAGTCTAAGGTATCTGAGCTGCTTCCAGGACGATTACCAATGTAGAAAGGTGAAGGGGATCAGAACCCCCTTGGCAGGACGGCGAGCGGTGTGGACAGGTTCACACAGTGTGTAATACTGTTGAGGTAAAGGACATGAGAGGGCGGAGGTCCCTGAGGGCCAGGGTCAGCGGGAGGCAGCGACCAGTATAACCTACGCAGCAATCGCCCTTCACCTGAAATGTCATCAGAGTGTGCAATAAATATTTCTGATCTGGGAGAAAACAAATGGTAGATTATGAAGGTGGTTCAGGTACAGGCAGCACTACGGTGTGTGTGTGTCGTGTGTGAGGCTACACGGGACACACACCACCAGCCAAGAGCTACGTGGCCAACATGGGTTGTGGTGAAGAAGGATGTTCACAACGCACGAATATGTGCTTGGAACTAACGGCAGCAAAAGAGATCTTTGCGTTAGACTAAGTCTAACGAAGGAAAGTTGTCAAGGAGAGTGGTCTTAAGAACGGTGTACACCTTGTGTCGACCCACACAACTAAATATATTGATCGTGCACACTGCTGAAGCTCAGTGACTGGAGGAGGCCCCAACCACTTGGGCTGGACGGTACAACGACGGTCTCGCTTCATGTAGGTCGGCGTTCAGTCCCCGACCGTCCAAGTGATTGGTCATTATTCCTTCCCCCCGTCCCATCCCAGATCTTTATCCCTTCCAAGTGCTGCATAGTCGTATTGGCTTGGCGCTTTATCATGACAGTTCCCTTCCCCTTAAAAAATTTATTATTATAAATATTTTAGGTTATTTATAATAGTAATATTGTATGTATGACTGGAGGAGGGATGGGGGGGGGTAATACTTCTCTCATGTTGACCCCCTCCCACTCTCATGTTGACCCCCTCCCACTCTCATGTTGACCCCCTCCCCCCAACAAACAATTTTAGGTTGCCTCAACGTACCTGGAAAGTGTTTGAAATCAGTGACAACGTTTGTTTTCACATATTAGCAACGTTGTAGTGTGTGGTCGTAAATAGTTTCCCACAACATACTGCGCCACATTAGCAAAACAAAATTTGAGATATTGATTTCTATAAAAATGTAAAATATTGATTTCAGAAGAGGTTGAGTGTAGCGTAAGACCCACACTACTATAGTGAAGACTGAGTGTGGCCTCCAGGACGGTGGTGCGGGCCACTGACCCTCGGGCACCGCCAGGGGTCACAAATTAGTCATTAGCTTGCAGCAATTGACTTCATGTTGGGCCTTAGTGTGGCATGCTGGCGATGCCACCGTCACATTCCAGTAGGATCTATATCCTGTACCGACATGAACATTGTGACGTCACACCTCGTATACGCCGTATATAAAACACAAAATTGTATCATATTTTCTAAGATTAAGTTAGGATGACAAACACACATCAGAAGATGGAGAAAGACGACGTTTTGGTCCATCCTGGAGTATTATCAAGTGTGTGAGGAAGAGAGGTTGTTGTTGTTTTAGATACAGCTACTCTGAACAAAAGTTCCAAGCAGCACGGGCTATGGTGAGCCCGTAAACGGACGAGAGGAAGGTATGCGCAAGTAAACACGGAAAGAGAGTGAGGTGAGGAGCAAGTAAGAGAAGAAAGTCAAGTTAGGTTAAGTTCAGTTTGTTTATAGATGAGCCTTGACTTAGGAGGGTACATACTTCTCTCGGGTCATAGACGATACTCTTTAAATTCTGACGTGCGCTCCCAGGCAAATTCTGACATTGTCTAAGATATATTAGTAACACCCCTCCCCCCCCCACACCTCCCACCCCTTATTTTTTATGAGCTTTGGCTTCACATAATTAAATTTCCGGCATGGTGTTCTGTGAGGGGCTGAGAGCAGTGTGGGGTTATATTCACCTCCTCAGCGCTCTCCTCCTCTCCTGCCTCCTCATCTCTTCCTTCACTTGGCACTGTTTATCACCCTATTATTCCCCTACTATTCCACTTACTTTATATCTCCTTCCTTTCATATCGCTCGCATTATGTCTTTTCTCTGCTGTTTCTCCTCCTTCACTGCTGATTGGCCATGTCTCCCCCTCTCCTTGACCATCCTCGTCGTCCCTCCCTTCATCACCCTCCTGCTCTCTTCTCCCTTCCCTCCCCCCGTGTATCCTTCCCCAGGTCTGGCACCCTTAATACTTGTCTCCGGTGCGATGATCTGTGAGAATGTGTATGTGATAAAGGTTATGAGGAGTGAGGCAAGAGGGAAGAAGAGTGAGGCAGGAAGGTAGAGGAGCGGACACTGCTGGCACAGTGAGAGTTTGAAGGTAATATCTCTGGTTTAATGACATTATTATGTACTCGAGGCAGAGAGAAGCTTCAGGTTCGTCCAGAATGTTTGTGTCTGTCGGTGTTGGTGTCGCGTGTCAACAATGGCTCGTCGTGTTGACTTG